GACGCCATAGGAATGGCTGGCTGGCACGACCAGGGATTGCCTTCTCGGCCATGGTGGCTGGGGAGGAGGCTACAACTTGGATTCGGCCATGGGAGTGAGAAAGCAGGATTCGGGTAGGGGTTGCAGAGGGACACTTCGAGAAGGAGTGGGTGGCTCAGCAGTGTTTGATAAGGAGCCCTGGCACGGCACTGGATTTGCTCCCCTGGCACAGCCACGCAAACAACCCTGCTGTAGTGAAAGCAGATTAGGGGGCACTGTGTCGGAGGAGACAGATCAGCCTGTCTCAGCCTGCTTTACTGAGGGGGGCAGGGCACCATCTTGGCACAGTCAAGCATTGTCTGCTCTGCTGTACCCTGGTGTGTGTGGGGGGGATCATCCTGGCACAGCCTGTTGTTTTGGATGATGGAGGGTGTCATTTGCAGGGGAGGCGGAAGTGGAGTGCCAGCCAGGCGTAGCTCAGCACAGCTTGGCATTGTCTGGTCTCCTGTGAAGTAATATGGGGAAAGAGAGCGCTGGATTGGCATGGGCAGCTTGGCAGGAGGCTAGCCTGGTCCACACTGCAGTGCCGTCACAGAGGAAGGCACAGCCTTGCTTCCTCTTTACTAGTTGGTGCTGTAATCTTGGCATTGTCTGTTCTGCCTTTTAAGAAGAGGGGGGAGGGGTGTCCCTTGGCATTGCTGGCTTTGTTTGGCTGTGGCAGAGATAGGGAGGGATGGGAGTGGGCAAAGCACCGCTCTGTCGCCGAGGCAAGCTGGTAGGAAGAGGAGGTGCCATCGATGAGGAAAAATCGAGCGGTGTCAGCTTTGGTGTGCTAATGTTGCAGATGAAGAGTGCTGAGATGTTGGGCCTGGGCGCGAGGCCTGTGGGGAATTTAGGGCCTCTCAGACCTCATCATGGCAGAGGCAAGCTGGTAGGAAGAGGAGGAGGTGCCATTGATGAGAAAAGTGTCAGCTTTGGTGTGCTAATGTTGCAGTGCTGAGATGTTTGGGCCTGGGCGTGAGGCCTGTGGGGAATTTAGGGCCTCTCAGTGCCACTGGTCAGGTCAGTTCAGGCAAAGGGATGGGAAGAGGCACGTTTTTGGTTGCCTAGCAACCACAGGTCAGGTTCTTCCCGACCTCCTGTGTAGGCCTCTGAAAGAGGGGAGGGGAATGTACAAGCAGCCCAGATACCTATAGGACGGACAAACACACGGAGAGGGGGTCAGCTTAAGCCTGGCATTGTGTGTCTCCCGCCTCCTCCCCTGGAGGGGGTTGGGGGGAGAGCTTTAGCCAGGGAAGACACAATGGTAGATGACAGTACAGCCCTGTTTTGTCTATAGGGGAAAATAAGAAGGGCTCACTAGGTATGCACTAATATAAATAAACAAGTCTTATTCCAACCATGTTTACTCAGAAGTAAACCCCCCTGCTTGCAGTGGGATTTACTTCCAACTGTACATGCATATGCTTAAAGAAAAATAGCTCACAGTTGCAAAGGAGCTGGTTGAAGGAAAGTCTTTACCTTTTAACACACACACACACCCTGTCAACAGTCAAGAAAAAATCTAGAAAGCTGGTAGTAAATTGCTGGTTCCATTATTGTTGTTAACAAAAAAGACTGGGGGAGTGAAATAGTCCTGGCAGATCACATGGCACTTTAAGTTTATAAAGAACCAAGGTAAAGTGATGGGAAATGTACCCTTTTGCAGTTGAGGAACTGAAGAACAGAAATGACTAATATAGTTCAGCATGCTTTTTATATAAAATAATGTCTTGTTAGACAAACCTGATTATTTTGACAAGATTACATGTTTGGCAATGGCAACTGTTAATTTACAGAAACCCCAACGTGTTTGGTTTAGTACCTTACGAAGGTTTAGGTCCACAGCAGGAGCTAAAAAGCACACCTCGAACACATTACAAATTGGCCTGTTCCCAACTGGCTTTTGTGAACACCTGGGCCTGAAGAACCACTCTGGGTGGCTTGCAGCTTTTCAAACACTGCATGTTCCAATAAAAGAATGCCACTTTTATTTCTCAGAAGCCAGAGTCCTAGCACTCTGCCTTCCCAGGCAGCTGAACTGCCCCTTCGTGGTAGGCCCCGTTTTATGGAAACACTATAAAAGTCCCACTTGACTGGGGGCTTCTGGCTTTCCCTTTTCTATGGTACATAGCGATACAGCATTATTATTTTTTTACTAAGTTCAAGTCGACACAGATAAAGAGTTGCAGATGCTGTCCTTTTGAGTACGAGGCTTGCTTTTTGCTGGTGTGTTTTCTCCTCACAAAACTTGCCACCGCCCAAATTTTACAGCTGCATCAATAAAACTGTCGCATCAGACCACAGACTGCAGGTGTGGATTCATGTGACCAAATGTTCTTTCATACAAAAAAATAATACCCATCTGCAAGTGTGGGTATTTTGTTCAGTCTTGTCCAGTTCGCCTCCTTACGACAGTCCCATCCCACATGGCTTTTGCCCATGTAGGCCTCATGATCCCCAGCATAACCCTTTTGGATGGTTAAAGGGGACCCTTTCTCCCTTTTTCTGCTTTGATCCTGCACAGAATATCAGGTATCAGAGAAGGGTTCTTGTCTAGCCTTCTCCCTGGCATGCTAGTTTTCTAAACGCAGGGAATTTGGGCGGGTGTGTATGGAGGAGCGTTTGACCACGTGAGCCTCCACTTGAATTGTTACAGTCCAGACATACGTTTCCCACCTCATCTGTGAAAGCTAGCCCTAGTACGCCAGCTTTAGTGTTTGTACATTGATCTGTCTCTAGTGGTTAGGGTAGATGACAAACTAGCACCAGGACTATCAAAAAAAGTGGTTCTGTTTGGGGGAGTTCATGCTAAGTTATGGCAAAGAACCTCCGGCTAACCCAGTCTCATCAGATCTTGGAAGCTAAGCAGGGTTGGCCCTGGTTAGTATTTGGATGAGAGACCACCAAGGAATTCCAGGGTCACTATGCTGAGGAAGGCACTGGCATGTCACCTCTGTTAGTCTCTTGCCTTGAAAACCCTAGGGGGGGTCGCCGTGAGTCAGCTGCAGCATCACAGCACTTTACACACACAATGGGGAATGGGTGCTGTAAACCTACCACTCTCTAGCAGTGAGCTGCACCAGAACATACCCTGAAGCTGATAAGGATTGACAGCTCAGTATTTGGAAAGGATGGAGGAAATTGGCACAGTACAGTAACCACATTCAGCACGTTTGAAAACATTCCTAAAGTGTAAATTGACTAAAGGGTGACCAGCCTCAGGAACACTGCCTCTTCTGCACACAATCCCCTCTTCACAAAAAATGAGTTATTTCCCCCATACTCTTCTCTATTTGCATCTTTTAAAGCTTCTTGCATTTGCCTTTTAAGCACTAAGGTATGCACATTGTGGCTTTACTGACTTTCTCATGTAGACAGGTGTTTGTGCACCTCCCACGTCATAGATGCTGGGTTCAGATTCTGGAGCTAGATTAGTGAAAAACTCAAAACTACCAGAGAAAAATAAGCTGTGTGTATCCACACGGAATGGATAAAAAGCCCACTGAAACCACAGCCTACCATGCTAGCTCCTTCATAACCACCATCCAGACCACAGGATGCCACAATCAAAAGAGAAACTTCACCACAGAGCTTTGTCCACGGAGCAATTAACTCCAACCAGTAGTAGCTCCAAATCTGCCAAGTTCAATACAGGTTTGAATCCCTCTGCCACAGAAGCGTGTTGGGTTACGTTGGACCAGTCACACCACTTAGCCTAATCCGCAGAGTAATCATGAGGATAAAATGGAGGAGCGGTCCAGTGTTCCCTCTAAGGTGAGTTAGTGTGAGCTAGCTCACAGTTCTTTAGCCTCCAGCTCACACATTTTTGTCTTCGCTCAGGAGTATGCAGTAGCCAAAACGCTCGCTCAGAACTTTAATGCCAGTAGCTCACAAAGTAGAATTTTTGCTCACAAGACTCCACAGTTTAGAGGGAGCATTGGAGGGGTCACCAGTGTAACTTGCTTTGGGTCCCTGCTGGGGTAAAAGGCGGGCTATAGATTAAGTAAATAAATAGATAAATGTTCATATTGTGATTTTTTTTTGGTTGTAACGGGGAAAGGCATTTGTGCAGCATGATAAGATCACTATGTGCAGGCAAACTGAAAGACATGAGTGGCGACAAAAATATCACATCTAGTGGGTGGGTGGTGGGAGTTACATTACTGAATGTGCCAGCTTGTCAAAACTCACTGCACATTTAAAAAAAAAATCAGTATATCAGCTCAAAGCCTTCTCTTTGGCATCTACCCATTCTGTGTGCAGGTAGTGTTAGGGGATATCCAAACATGCAAGTCCCCCACCTATATTCTATAGTGGTACAGTCCTGGGAGATCTGTCACATGACAGATCACATAGCTTGGCTCTGATTGGGCGTTTTAGTTGTTGGCATCAGAAATTAACAGCTGCTCCCTTGAAAAAAAAAACAGCACCGTAAATATTGCTGCATCATTCCTTTAACTTATGTGGCTCCGCCGTTTCCTTGGGCTACCTCTGAGTCCATTCTTTGAATGGGGGTGGTGGGGATGCACGTGCCGTAACAATCTGTTCATCTCGTCCATCATGCAGCCCAGACACACCTCTTTCTTTTTCCTTCTTGAGTGAACCTGGATGTGGTTCAAGGAATGCATCCTGCAGTTTGCCCAGCAACGGTAATCCAAATTCTTCCTCTTCTGTCAGACTGAGCAAAATACCAAGTGGCCTAGACAGAAGCTGGGACTGGACACTAGGTAAATGAGCATTCAGTACCCTCTGTGCATGAGGGGCTGACTCTACAAAGTTCACTCCTCCAATTTATCATGTCTACAAGTCAACAAAGAGCTCTTTGGTTTGGCCTTCTTTACAAACTTCTCTCACCAGCAGGCTGAGCCAATAATCTCCCAACAATTCTCAAAATATATATATATATATATATATGGTGAAAAAGGCACTGGATGGATTGCTCTGAGACAGAGCCCTCCCGAACTTGAACTCAGGCGGAGGAGGCTAGGTTCTTCTGTGGGATGGCAGCAGGTAAAGGAGCGAGGGAGAGTCTTTGGATGACTTGGTGGGAGCACGTCGTGGGCACGGGCACCAGTGCACTTCCAAGGCATTGGGAGGCTCAGACCGTCCTGTTCCCAGAGCCTCTGGGGATTGAATCCTGCCGTCCATGGCTAACCGGGGAGAAGAGCTTCCGATGCAGGCTCCACACCCAACGCTAGAAACAAAGAGACTGGTGAGAAGCCAGAAGTAAAACTTTCATCTGTTTTCCTGACTAACCTCAACATTCTAGGCCTTATTTTTATATACATGTCTTATACCTGACTCCCTGCAACCCTGATTCCAGGCAGTTTCCAACTCTTTAATTCCCATTCTGACCTTGTCTCTCTGTGTGTAAAGTGCCATAAAGTCACAGCCAACTTACGGTGACCCCAGAGTGTTTTCAAGGTAAGAGATGAACAGAGCTGGTTTGCCATGGCCTGCCTCTGCAAGGAACCCTAGACTTCCTTGGCGTACTAAATACCAAGTGGCCTAGACAGAAGCTGGGACTGGACACTAGGCAAATGAGCATTCAGTACCCTCTGGGCATGAGCCCCGGTTCATGGGGGCTGACTCTACAAAGTTCACTCCTCCAATTTATCATGTCCACAAGTCGACACAGAGCTCTTTGGTTTGGCCTTCTTTACAAACTTCTGATGCTGCTGAGCTTCTGAGATCTGAAGAGACTGGGCCAACCTGGGCTATGCAGGTCTACCTACGTAAATCCTGCAGAGAGGAGCCTCCCCATTTCTGTGTTCTGTGCAACATCCTCCATTGCGTAACATTAAAACCAAAGTGTTGCGCTTTCAAAAGGTTTCATAGTAATCAATGCCCTTGCGCTTGCAAAGTAGGGCCAGTATTAGTTTCCCCGCACTGCAGATCTCAGGCTGAGAAACAGCAGCTTTGCCTAGAGTATTCCCAGCAAGTTCATGCCTGAGGTTAGATCTGAATCAGTGACTTTTTGCATCTCTCGCTGTTAGCCGTGATGCGCTGCCAGCACTATGGGCATTAGCTGAATCTTAAACAAGAGTAATAACACAAAGACAACCGGAAGGCCAGCAAGGGTGGGACAGAAGACAAAGAGAAGCTGCAGGGCGAAGAAACACGTACTGGTTTTAAAAAGCGCCCTAGACACACAATCACACATTGAACAGAAATTGAGTTAATTCCTCTGAGGAGGGGAATATATCCCTGGAAATGCAGACTAAGAGACAAAGACACGGAGAAATGCTGTGTGTTAACACTCTGGAGGAGACGGCAAGAGGAGATAGTGCGGGGAGGGGGTGCCCAAAGGCAGAGAAGTTTGGCGTGGGCGCTGTACCTGGCCGCCACAGCCTCAGAGTGGGGTCACTGGTTCGCCGGCAGCGCCAGAGCTCTGGCAAATAAAGAAAACACACACAAGGCCATCAGGGACGACATGGTGAACCCTGGGTGGGGAGGAGGGAAAGCTGAGGGTAGAACAGGAATGTCACATAATCTGGTATGTAAACACACACAAGCCTGTTCAGGCAAACAACCTTGTGGTTATCAGCACCTGAAACAGAAGTGTCTGTCTCTTGTCCTTGGGGTGTGGAACAGAGTGGGTGACACAGCTGTGAGAGGCATATGGGTAGCTTTCTGGCCAAGGTTCATCAGCTCTTGAAATCGCAATACCTTAGTATCAATTTATACAGTCCGCAGAACCAGCCTTCCTTGGAATGCACCACTTCAGGTGGCAGGGGTAGCATTTTTAACTTTTTCCCATGTGGAAGACCGGAGGGAGAACTCAAGAAGGACGCGAGAATGCAGGACTGAACCCTTTCCCTTGGCTGTGCTGGTTCTGTACAGGCAAAGTGTTTCTTTTGCAGGTAAAGTGTTCGAAGATGCAAAAAAACCCCACCTTGCAAAGGCAGCTGAGGAAAAGCTGTGCCGTGTTGATTCTACTGAGTGTATAAGCAGGCCCAGAGTAATAGGCTTCTTTACAACAGACCCCGTTTGGAATTCTATACACTCACCGACTGGTGGTGCCCCACAGTAGAGCTACTCCCGGGCAATGATCTTGCCAGGCCGGATGGTTCTCGGTGGCTGGGGGAGGCTCCTTCTGAATCGGAGGTCTCCGCTAGAGGGAACAGAAGAAAAGGTGGGAGTGAACATGGAGCAGAATCTCTCTGAGAAGGCGGGGGGGGGGGAGAGAACATGCGAAGAGCAGCACACTCACCCCTTGGGATAGGCTTGACATCTAGGTCCCATTCTTCTTCCTCAACATGGCCAGGCAATGATAGCCCAGAAGGGGGTCCAGGACCGAGGCCGAGGGGGGCCAAACGCTGGCCTGGGCAGGAGGCTCTGCACATGGAGATTGCTGGATGGGCAGCTGAGGAGAAAGAAATATTCAGGGCCTTTTCCCACAAAAACCTCCTGTTTGTACTATCAGTAGCCTCTCTCACCTGACCAAACACAAACGCTGCTCCCTTCGACCCGCTTCCTAATCCTTTCCCACATTCAATTCGTGTGGACGAGAACCAGCATCGTTAGGAACAGGGCTGATTGTTCAGAAAGCACAACGCTACTGCCACACAGTTCACACACACAGAGGTACACCTTGCATACAAAAAGCTGCTGCCCACATTGCCCTGTATGAAGGAGCCCTTGCTCAGTGATGTCATACGAAGGTATCCAGAATCCTCTTCTGCTCTATATTCCACAGAGGAAAACAGGCCTCCTCTTGCAATAAGCACCCCACAGGCCAGCTTCTACTCAGCTTACAATTCCATTTAGTCAGAGGTACCTTCAAAGAGGCCATGGTTACCTCATCTTCAAAAAAGTGGCCCCCAGCCCACCCCGTTCTCTCTCAGCAAGAAAAGCTAAGCACAGGAAAGATTTCTTGAAGTTGTTGCCATGAATCTTTAGCCCTGATCCCAGTCCTCACCTGACTGGACACCCCTAGCACAACCTCATAGGTTCCCTTATACCCACCTTGTCTCCACAGCAGCTGGGCTATAACATTTGTCCACTGGTGCTTGACCTCAGGAGAGGCTGCCTGCAGCGTGTAGGCCTGTCGGGCTGGTCCCCGTCCAAACCACAGCTCAAAGCGCAGACCGCTAGGCCCCACGCTCTCTGTCAGTCCCATAGATGCCGTCTGCGCAAAAAGAGGCAGGGGGTGGTTAAGGAAAAGTTAGGATAGTCAATGGTCTATTGGGGCAACAGGAAGCAGGGCACTGAAGTGCAACAAACATAGGCCAGAGAAGGAGAAGAGAAGAGCTGCCAGGATAAGATGTAAGATTGTGCAGCCATCAAAATCCCGGTCTCAGAAATTCATCTCGGAGACAGTGGATTTTCCTCACATCAGATTAGTCAGTAATGACCTTGCCAGTTCCCCAGAGCCTCCAGTATTGTACAGTTTCTTCCTATTACATAATCCTTGTACCTCTGCTTTTACTGAATTTCATTTTTTCCCCCTCATGTTCTGATGCTCTGATAAATCCACTTAAGAAAAAGATATTTCCCCCCCTTATATGTGTTAATTCAACCACCACTGAGTTACAATTCTGGAGCCAGTATTGGTGTGTAAGAGATTAGAATGTCAGACTAAGATCTGGGAGGCCCGGGTTCAGATTCCGTGCTCTGCCATGGACACTTCCTGGGCCGATCTCTGTCTCTCAGCTTAAGCTACCTCACAGGGTTGTGGATGTGAGGATACAAGGTAGAGGGGGAGAATGAAGTTGTAAGTGGTTTGGGGGAGAAAAGTGAGGTAAAAATATATTGATAAATTCCTTTCAGCTTTGTATCATATGCCAGAATCAGTGTGGTGTATCCATTAAGAGTGTTGAACCAGTATCTGGGACACCCAGGTTCCAATCCCAACTCTGCCATGAAAGCTTGCTGGGTGACCTTGGGCCAATCACATTCTCTCAGTCTAACCTACCTCACAGGATTGTTGTGAGTAGGTCCATTTGGGACGCTGGCAGGGGGATGAGGGGGACGTTCTGGGAGCTGGAAGCATCGCCTCTGACATGCTGTCATCGGAAGTGACGTCATGCGCCGTGCCTACATCACTTGGAAATGACATAGGCACTTTCGGGGGGCAACGCTTTGGTTTTGGGGCAAACCTCTATGGCGAAATTGCCCTCAAATCATAGAGTTTTACCCCAAAACCAGAGTGTCACG